CAGCAGCTGTAGCTGCATAAAATGGCAACTTTCAAGTAAACACACAGATTCAACAGCCCAAATAAAATTTACATGGGAAAAAACCCCAGAACTTTACAGCAAGAAGATTGGAGACAGATGTTTTCTTCTGTGTGTGAAATTGCAGGTTGTCCAGAAAGGGCTTATCTGAAGAGTGCAATTACGCAAAGATAGAAGCTTTTTAATAATAAAGTTGTATAACCTCCAGAACCTGTTGGATTTTAAAACCTAACTAGAGAAAGACTGAGGATTGCAACAGCAGCGAGGAACCACTGTAATTCCAGCGATTTACGGCAAGCCATTAGCAGGACTAGAACGTTCAGGCTGCGTTTACCTACTGCCTCACACGCTCCGCCGCTCCCATGAGCTGCGTGCCTGGAGAGAGCGTGCCAGCGGTCACAGCCTGAGAGCAGCCCCCAGACTGGAAGAACCATCTCGCAGCATCCACTCGGTCTCTGCCACGTTGTCGCAGTTCTCTTCGGGGAGGAAGGCGAGGGACGCAGCTGTGCCGCAGGGAGCAGCGCCGCCGCGCAAGCGCATTCATGAACGCAACGAGCACTGAAGCCACTCCGGCATCTCCAGCACGCTCCAGCTCTGCCCAAGCGTAGGGGTTTCATCCCGAGCAAGACTGACCTCAGGGAGGGGACGGATGCGTGGAGCCCATACACTCCCGCAGCTCCCATCTTTGCTAGGTGTTGCAAGTCCAGCCCAACAGAACGAAACGCAGTATTTTTCATCAAAAGAAAAATACACTCATGGCACTGCATCAGGTGGGTTCCTAGAGTTTTTCCAGGGCAAATGAAGAGGCTGGTGGCTCCCTCCTGGGGAGCAGCTGCTCCATCTTCCATTCACTGCCGGGACAGGTCGCCCGACCAAGGCAGAGGATGTGTGAAAACAGAAGTCCCTGGGCCATAGGCGATGCAGCTCCCGTTGGTCACCCCACTGCACTCCAAAAGGAACGCCCGTGACGACCGACACTTTTGTTTGCAGCTTGATTTGGCTCCCTTTCCAAGGGCCGACTGCATGCAGATTAAAAGCAGAATACCAAAAAGTAGGGCAATTAGATAATACTTAACTTGGGTCAATTAAAAAAAACATAGATTGCTCATCCAGGCATAAAATCCTGGGAGCAAAGGATGGCAACCTTAAACTATTCAAGTCTAAGACCAAGAGGTAGAGACACCTATGTACTTCACGGTGAAGGAGCTACAGCCTTCTGTCTTACAATCTCATGTATTTCACTTCAGGTGACAACATAAAACCAAAGACTCCATCTTCAATAGTCCAGAGAGAAAATGTTAACACTGGTGGTTTTGTTTGCACACAACAAAATTTAAGCAGACACATAACTTTCAATACTTACTTGAAAAAGTATTTATGTTTAGCGTATATTGAAACACTACCCTGAAGAATTTTGAGTTTCAGGTTAAGCATCTTCCTTTTTAATATGAAAGGCTAAATTCACATGCACGTGTATCGAGCCGAGCGAGCTCAAGGGAAGAACTAGGTGCCCAATTTACTGAGGATCTTCTAAAAAAGGATCACGCTGCAGAACAGGGCTGCAAGACCCAGAAACTCACCATGGCTGTTATTTTCCACTGAATGGGCATGATGTAACCTCAGCCAACAAACTACGTCACAACTGAGGTGGCTATTAACTACGTGGTGTTTCTTTAACTTTGCTGGGGTTTTTGGAAACAAGGCTTGGAACTGTGAGGACGATACTCATGTTGACAGTGTCATGAAAACACTGCGGTCACCGGTCAGTGCCCAGCCGTGTCTGGGAAGCGCGGGTGGCAGACCAGCACCTGTCCTGGGATCCGTGGGTTCTTCAGGCTCCGACGGACGTGCAAGGAGTGAAAGAAGTTGCAAAGGCAAAGCTGGGGCTGCCCCCAGCACCCTGCCCCGCGCCTGCCCCCGC